ACATGATGTTCTACCTGTGTGTCACATGATGTTCTACCTGTGAGTCACCAACCAACCAAATTTTTTCTTGTTAAATTTAAACATTTTTTTGTTCCATAACCTCTGACTTGTTGAATTAGACTCCTCCCACACAGCTGGTGGTTTGACACGTGTGCTGACGGCGTGCTCATGGTCGCCCTCACCTCCTCTGAAGCGTAGTGTTTCCGGGCCAGCAGGGCTTTGCCCAGCTCGATGCAGGCTGTGAAGCTGTCGTTTCGGGCGTCGATCTCGGCCTTGATGCCCTGATGGTTGTTCATCAGCAGCTCCACCGACGACACGTCTCTGAACAAACAAACAAACAAACACATTTGGTTTATCGCCACTCCCGTCCAACCACATGTTGGCGCCGGGCAGACTCGATGTACCTGGGGTTCTCCTGGGCCTCGATGAGGCGGATCACATCCTCCATCCATAGCATCAGGTCTCGGACCATGCTGAAGAACCTGAACTTGTCGCCGGTGTCCAGGAGGCGGAGCCTTCGTCCGTCGCAAGCCTCCAGCAAACTCCTCCAGGCCTCCAGCACCTCGCTCTCCCTCCGCTGGATGTCGTCAGCTTTATCACCGGCGTACGCCGACTGAAGGCGCACCGCGTCCTCCTGCAGCTGCCTCACCTGTACACAGGGTCAATGGTTCCCCATAAGCCCACTGTGTCCCCGTAAACCCACAGCATCTCCACAGACTCACCATGTCCCATTAAACAAGTGTGTCCTCACAGACCCACTGCTTCTACATACACCCAAAATGTCCACATAAACCCACTGTGTCCCCATTAACACAGTGTGCCCCCACAGACCTACTATGTCCCAATAAATCAACGTGTCCCCATACACCCACTGTGTCCCCATAAACACAGTGTGTCCCAATAAATCAATCTGTCCCCATACACCCACTGTCTCAACATATACCCCATTTATCTCAATAAACCCACAGCATCTCCATAGACCTACAGTGTCCCAATAAATCAACGTGTCCCCATACACCCACTGCATCTTAATATTCAATTCAATTTCAATTTTATTAAAGCCCAATATCATAAATCACAATTTGCCTCACAGGGCTTTACAGCATATGACATCCCTCTGTCCTTATGACCCTCACAGCTGATCAGGAAAAACTCCCCAAAAAACCCTTTAACGGGGAAAAAATAAACCCCAAAATGTCCCCATAATAAACCCACTATGTCCAAATAAACCAATATGTCCCCATACACTCACTACATCTATATAAATTTGATGTGTTCCCTATGGATCCTTCTGCACCCCCATAAATCCACCGTGTCCCAATAAACATATCTGTCCCCATACACCTACTGCGTCCCCATAAACTCACTGTGGTTCCCATTAAGTCTGTTAGCTGTGACTGACCTGTGTTTCCAGGGCCTGTATGTCATGCTCAAAGGTGGTGTGCATCCTCTGTAGCATCTCCACCGTGTTCTGGTCACGTCCGACCTCCTCGGGCAGCTTCTTCTGTTTATCCACGATGCGCCCCAGGATCTCCTTGGCATCGTGGTAAAACTTGTGGAGCTCGAAGGAAGCCGCAAGAATCTGCGTCCTGGTGTCAATGAGCTCCAGCAGGTCAGCCCAGGCTTCATTCAGGCCGTCCTTCCACTCTGCCACTGTCGCTGCATCGCCATGACCGGCGTTGATCAGCTCGTCCGCCAGACGGTTGACAGCATCCACGCGCTCCTGACCGATGTTCCCAGTGTCCCGAGCGAACTCCCGAAAACGTTCTTGCAACATCTGAGTACGAAGCACACAGGCCAGAGGTCAGGTCATAGCACTAAAGATGATAATACCCTGGGGTGTAGTATTTGTAGTAATAATGGTAGTAGGTGTGTTGAGAGTCGAACAGATCTTTATAAAAGTATTAATACTGCTACTATTATTAGAAGCATTCAGTAGTAGTAGTATTCACATTAAATACTGTAGTACCACATGTGGTGAAAGGATTTACAGTCCTGTCTGAAATATTGTAGTGGTGACAGTAGTGGTAGTATCAGCAGCAATTATAGCGCTCGTGTGAGCTGACCAATACGACCGTGGTAATATTACAGTACCAGTATAGCATTAGTGGTAGTGTCTGTGAGACAGGTCCAGTTAGTAGTAATCGTAGTGGCAGTATCAATGTAGATACCAGTGGTGGTCGTATAACCTACAGTGATCTGTCTGTAGTCAGTCATGAGATCCAGCCACCACCTCCCGCTCAGTCAGCGGTCGTCTTGGCAGTGTCAGTGGTATTAACAGTAGTATCAGCAGTGACGTACAGTAACATGTTCGTAGTCCTGTCCCAGCTCGTGCGACCCAGCCACCACCTCCCGCTCAGCGATCCACTGCTCCAGGTCGTCCACCTCCCGGTTCAGCTGGAAGAGGCGGAGCCTCTCGTCCAGTTTGCCCCGCCTCTCCTCTGATAGGTCCTTCAGGCCTGCGTACAGTTTGTCCACCTGAGACTGACGCATGCTGATTCGCTCACTGAGACACACAGAGACAGTCCTGTTAGTGTTTGAGGTTACCGCTGCGTCAATAATCAACACAGTAAATAAAGTTACAATCATGACTGCAGCGTTGTGTCACTGCATGTCCTCAACAACACACCTCTCAGGATGTCCGTCAGCCACCAGGCCTCGGCTGGTCTTGGACAGCAGGTGAACGGTCTCGGCGTAATCCTCCACCGCCTGCTCCACAATCTGATGCTTCTTCTGCATGGTGACAGCGCTCAGCTCGTCCTAAAATTAAATAAAACGAAATCAAACATGGATTTAATTCTTCATAAAAATACATGAGGAGGACCATGCGATACAGGGACAGAAAACGACGGTAAGAGGACGTTGAGTTGACACCGTTTTCTGTAGAAAGGACCTCTCTTTATTTCTACTCTCCTGTGCTCCTTTAGCGTATTTTATTTTGAAGTTCTTATTCTGATCAGTGCTCAGTGGACGTGTTCTCTTTACTCAGCGTCTCATAGCTGGACGTCCTTGTGACACCTGACTGACGTGAACATGTTTATTCAATGAACTACAGATGACACAATATTCATAACATTATATCTGAGCATAAAGTACAGATGTGGAATATTTGTGTTTAAAGTCCCCTTGACTTCAGTTAAGGTGTACCACAAGGGTCCATTCTTGGTCCTCTTTTATTCACAATTTATTTACATTTTATTGTACTTTTTATGCAAATGATACTATTTTATAAACAACTGGTTCTTTTCTTAATCTGCTTCTGATACATTTCATGGTTCCTGTGTAGATATTATTTTCGAACACAGATCTCTGTACTGTACTAGTATTTTTGTTTATTGTGATGTCTTTCATGGAGTATCTTGAAAATAATTCAGAAAACACATTTTGAGGCAAAAGATTTTAAAATATAGAAACATAAACAAAAATATATCCTAACACTCCGACCGTTATTTGAACTGTGTACATCATTTAGTTTTTCAGATATGCTTGTTTTTGGGAGCAGAGTGAAAATATGTTTTGACGGATTCATCATTCATTCTTCAGGTGCCGCAGCACATTTCTGCACCACATGTAACGCAGCGAAAAAGCATCATTACGAGTGTAAAACGCAATGATGACGAAGAAAGAAACCTTAGCTTTCTCCTGCAAAAATGATGAATGTTATGTCATATAATAATGACGACGTATATATACACAGGATTATGTAAACAGCAATCTCCTGCAGTCATTTTGGGGACATACCATGTTTGCACAGCAGGTAAGGTAACACAAGGTCAAGACTGGATGATGAAGAGGACAGAAGCCTTCCCTCTGTGCTGCTAAAACAATCAATGTTCTGGTTATTAACAACGATCAAACGTCTGCAGGAGGTCTGTTTTTCAAGGGTTAAATAAAGGACAGAGTTCACACTGTTTTCTTTAGAAAGAACGTCTCTATATTTCTGCTCCGTCAGCGTATTTCATGTTAGTTTAGATGTGCTTTAGAGGTTCATACAGCTTTTATAGTGAAAAACATCAGGAAGTGTGGAGTGTTGGTGTCGGTAGGTCTAATGGAGTTAATGAGAGCATGTCTAACCTTGGCCTTCTCTTCCGACATCATGTACAGCTCCTGCTCGCTCATCCAGGCCTCAGCCTCGGCGGCGTCAAAGTAGTACTGCTGGGCTTTGTGCGCCTCCTGCAGCCGGCCATGGCGGCCCTCTGCCTCCTCCATCAACTGCCTCCACAGCTCCTGCAGAGCGGCCAGACGCTGACGGATCACGTCTGCATTGGAGGAGTCGTCTTTCAGGAGGCTCTGACTGCGATCCAGGATGTCGTCGATGCGAGGCTGATGACCCTGGATCTCCTTCTGCAGAGTCTGTTTGCATTGATTATTGATTGACTCACAACTGCACAGTTCAAAATGATTCTTGGAAACAGTGGAAATCAGAAAATCAGAAAAAGAAGAAATGTGTCACCGCTGATGAGGAAATACAGCGAGTGCTGGACGGAGCAGTGAGTGACAACAACCCCGCCCACATTTAAGAGGACTGTCTGAACACACCGAGGGTCTAGGTACCATGTCTGAAGGCTTACTGCTGGTTCCACAGGTGCTGGACTGAAAGGGTTTGGTGAAATTGGGCTTAGGTGTCTTCAACAAGTGTCTAAATGAGACTACAGAATGTCATCACGCTGAATGTGACTTTAATGCCTGGTTGTGGTGGTGACGTTAAGTCATGTGACCGTGGTGTAGTTTGTTTACAGCCTAACGTTAGCTTTTTTCTTCTGATGGTTGAATTTATTCTTCAATAATCCTTCAGTTCATTAGTGAAGATCATCTCACTGAACAAAACCTGAAGCATCAGAAATGTTTATTTATTTTCTGTAATAATCCAAAATCCAATGAAACAATCTGATTGGCTGTTTGACGAGGGAACCGGTGCAACGCTAACTTCAGGGTCAGAATACAGAAAAGCATCAGGTTTTCTTGTGCTGTTCTTTCTAAACTGAGCTGTGGTTACAGTTACTATATACTGTTGTGATCAAGGCTGATGATTAGCGCACAACTTTCACTAGTTAGCGTGCTAGCTACACTTTCACTTAAATCGTAGCCTTCTTTGATGTTTTTGACTTGCAGCTGTTGCTGGTATGTGACAAAATTTCTTGTAGGAGCCATGAGAGTTACTCCTTTGTTTCTGGCACCAAACAACACAGCAAGACAACCTTTTCAGTGGGTTAATAACCCATAAACATAAATACGTAGACACCACATTGACTGTGTCAGCCCGTTGTAGCAATATGTCAGCATCGCCGCTATGTTGGAGAAGGCAAGACTTGCCTGTAAACAAATGACAGCGAACAGAGGAGCTGTGGTTTCCGGATTAAAATCTCTGTTATGTTTATGTCTCTTAACTGATTTCGATGAGTCGTTTTTATTGTCATGGGTTTGAGATCTACGCACGGCGCCCAGTGGGGCATCTATGTTTCTGTAACTATGCTGTACCCTACGACTGTGAGGTGATATGTGTTTACCTCACCAGCTAACACGATGATGTAATAATGAGGTCAACATTAAAAGGGTCTACTGAAAACTTTTCTGTATTTATGTTTATTGAATTTATTGTGTAGAAACCAAAACAAATTCTTTACATGTGAAAACTGTCTTGATTCAGATTTTAGGACCCTAAGATCAGGTCTGACTTGTTCTGTCTGGTTCTCTCACCTGGTTCTTCTTGATGAGCAGCTGGACGGTCTGCAGGTTGTGTCCATGGTCGGAAGACGTGGCCACGGCCATCCTCTCCTGAACCCACAGCTGGAAGACAAACTCACACTGTTAATAACACTGTCCTCCTGAGGGGGGTGCTGTCCACTGACTTTGACATTTTGACTGGTTGGGACATTACAGAGAAAGAATTAAACAACGTCTCTGATAAACAACTGAAAGTCCTCGCACTGGTTTGTTCTGTAGCTTCGTCCCTACGTGGAGTTTATTCAGCCGCCATGAAATTGCAGACGTTCAAACTCTCCATGCTGCTAACCGATTATTAACCGTTATTTTCATCACTGATTCATCTGCTGATTTTTTTTCCCCAGTGAACTTCAGAAGAGTTATATCATCACATTTCATATTTAGAAATGTTCCAGCAGCTTGTTTTGTCAAGCTGAAGGTCAAACACTTTTCATTTACTGTCATAAAGACATAAATATTCACATGAGAAAAATGACTTCAACAATTCATCAGTTACAAAAATGTTAACGACACTGATGAAGTAATCCATTCACTGTTTCAGCTCTAGCTGACCTAAAATTAAAATCAAATCAAACCATGGATTTATTCTGTGTTAAAATGCAGGATGAGGATCATGTGATTAGGGTCGCAGTGGTATGAGATTTTCACTGTATGATGACGTCTCAGAAAATATCACGGTTACACGGTATGACAGAATTATTATCAGTACCGGCCCACTAGATGACTTTGCACACCTGATACTGATGCACCTGTGAAGGCTGAGAGGTTTTTCCACCCCGACCAGAATACAGTTCTCTAAAATAACAATAAATACTAGATATTGAACATTGTACAAAATTTTGTCCAACAGCAGCTTCGGTTCAAAAGAATCTGTATCAGACTTCTGTCCTAAAACAATATGGGTGGAGCCCTGCTGCTGAGACGCTGACTGAATGTGGACAAACTGAGACATACTGTTGAATTTGCACATATTTTTTGGAGGATATCGCAGCCGTTAATCATCTGTTGTTGTTAGTGGATGAACATATTCAGAATCTTTCCACTATCCAACTTGAGATCAAATTGAGCTGTACGTGGGCCAAGAACTAAACTGAGTTTGATGCCACTGCTCTAAGGGATAAAATAAGAAGGTTTTCGGTGTGGTTAAACAAACACACGTTTAATAACTATGGTTTAAAACCCTTTTAAAAATAACTCAAATAAAGGTGAAATTCTTCATCCAGTTGCAATTTTCAGTACCATGGACTGTTTGATAACCGTCAATGTTCTTACCACAGAATACCTCGAGACAGGTAAACTGCTGCAGTCCAACATGTCACACAGTTTAACAGACAGAAAAAGTACGAGGTATTAGACCATTTTTGTAAA